TTATAATCCTACCAATCAAACATGGCTCTAAAAAATAAAGATTGGAATCCTGAAGAAATTCACTGAAATGTCTTTGTATCAAAGAAGGGGTGTGCTACGCGTCGGCCAACGGATCTTTTTAAAAGAACCGCTGCCTCGCGAGCCGTCGGATTTCACCCCATTGTAAGGCAGAGTGGCGTCTTCCACCTTGGCAACAGGGTTTCTCTTGTAGAAATCTTGCAACAAAGGTCTTATTGCGGAAATCTTCGCAGCAAATCTTGTTGCAGAATTTTTTTGCAACCAAGGTATTGTTGCAGAAAACTTTACGATAGTGGTAATGTTGCACAATTTATGTGATGTTACGGAAGAAAGTCGTGCAACAATGATGGAGGTTACAGAAAAACTTTCATGCAACATAGAGGAAGCTTGCAACGCCACATCAAAATTTTGAGAGCGTGCGTGATGTTTCCATAAGCGGTGGGACCAGCTTGCGACATCTTATGATCACATTTGATCGAACGGCAGCGTGCAAGGCCAATCCTCCGAGCGAATCAGCCGGCAGGACTGAAGTGTTTTCCATCAAAGAAAGCCCATACCGTGGAAACTTTCCACTCAGATCAGCCTCTTTGACTTACGCAAGTTTTTGAAGAATTGGTAACTTTTGAAACAAATTCAACGCAATAGCCAATAGCTCATGCACGCATGTGGTGAAAAGTCGAGAGTGCCTGGATAAAAATAAGCAATACCTTGTAATGACATCACTTAGCTACTTCTTTCGTTCCTAAATATAAGTCTTTTTAGAAATTTGAAATGGACTAATGTATATAGACGTATTCTAAAGTGTAGATTCACTTATTTTGCTCTGTATGTAGTTCATAGACCTCTTGGTTTCGATACCATGTAGAAGTGCATGCTTTAGTCAATGCAATCAAAAGCCCGATGTGATGAAATAGACTAGACAATACATTTATACGTCAATAGATAATAATACAAGAGTGTTTCCAACATGCATACATAATAATACAAGACTGTTTCCAACATGCATACATGTATATGTGCATAGATGCATCCAGTGACCGACAAGGCATGATAACGACATGACACCTCACTCTGACCAGGACAACAATAAGGGTAGCCATATACCTTGCCTGTCCATAAAAAGATGATATTGGTGCAATAATCGTATACACACAGTATGTAATGATTGTGTAGTTATACAACGAGAGATATCAATTATAACCGACTTCTTGATTTACCATGCGATAAAATGTATGGATATCAATTAGTAATACAAAGTTTACCCTAAATCAGCGGCAACTAATATGAAACGGAGTGCAAGAACCGAACCACTTCAAGCTAAGACGGCCCACTCAAAAAAAAGAAAAACCTAAGGCAGGGAGTACGGCGTGGCAATGCGCATGTGCAGCTAGCATATACATATCCCATCCATCGATCCGATCCGATCCGGTTCCCCCGGCGCGCGCATGTACAATTGCTCCACGTCGACCCCGTGCACAAATTTCCTCCTTTTCTGCGGGAAAAATCGACCCGTGCATCACAACTGCGCATACTCCTCGCCAAAGCGGGGGAAAAAAAGAGAACAATCGCACATGCATGCATCGTGTGCGGGTGCGTGTGAGGGGTCTGCCTATCCTTATCCATAACCCCATCCATCCAGCCATCCGTGTCTCCCTGCCCTATGGAGGCACACCACACGTAAAGTATGTACGTGTCAGCACGTGGGCGCAAGTGGATGGGAGACGCGAGGAAACGGGAACGCGCGCGCACCAGATGAGATTAGACTTGCTGATGTGTATCCGTCTGTAACGACGGCGACGTCCTCCCCTCTTGTCTTGCTATTATTGCCTTTGTTTATTAATTCTTCGTTCATCGTCGTGATGGTCGACCGATCCATCGATTTGATTAGCTCAACTTGGATCGGTGAGTTCGTCTCTGCCTTTTCTTTTTCGTCCACCCAACGAGCCAAGTCTAACGACGTGAAAAAAAGCTAACTTTTCTCTAAAACCTCAACATAAAAATGAACCCAATCTAAAATATTTCATAAAATAGCCCTTTTTTATATGACGCACGGGGCTTGGGCATCATGGTAGAGAGCATGACGCTCCGGGCTAGGGCGCCATGGTAGCGACATCTAGCATGACGCTCTGGCCGAGGGTGCCATGCCAAATAGCATGGCGTCCTAACCCGAGGCGTCATGCTATCTAGCATGGCGCTCTAGACCCGGACGTCATGTAAAAGGGACTTCGTGAAATATTTTCAGATTGATGTCATTTTGTGTTCAAGTTTTGGAAAAGGACCAGTCTTATCCATTTTCACGTCTAACGCGACCTGTCACTCTTCCTTCTTTTGCTCGACCATCCATTCCGGCCCGACGTCAAAAACTCTCATGAGATGGCCCAAGTTTTATTGGACCGCATTATCTGACAAATGTATCTTGGGAGTATTTTTCTCAACGAACGTCAAATTTGTCATGCCAAACTAACTAAAAATGCCATGACAACTTTGTGGGATTTGTCATGATCGAAGACGAAACTTGTCATGTTATGCAAAACAAAGAGTAGAAATACTATCATGATTTACATGAAAAAAAATGTCGTTCATTCAAACAGACAGTTTTGAAGGCATTCGTTGGGAGGTCCAAAAAAATCTGACGTTCACCAGGTATCATTCACCTAAATTCGTGGGGAAGATGATCCAATTACCGAAGCTTAGAACAAAACTCCAAAGCGCTCTATTCTCCACAACTAATGATTTATTTACCAACAATTAGTTGTGCTCTGCACTACAATGGGTGCATAACATATTTTAGTAAGTTAATGCGATTGCATACCAGATAGTGAAAGAATAATCGTATTTATTACTCTAGTTATTATAGCTTACCAAAGAGAACAAGATTTGGTTTAGCATCCCCCTTTCCCCACCCTAGCCATCATCGAAGATCTTCACGCCACTCCCTTGGCCTCTATCCTCTCTCCCGTCCGGTGATCTTCGTCTCGGACCCCTCCTCTCTCTTTCACCCGGCGACCTTGTTGAGGGCTAGCTGAGTGAAGACCAATCGCTTTCATTGTTCTTAGTTTTAATAGGTCCTTATTCTCCTTGTTTTTTTCCTTAGAAGCATCGGCAGGGTGGTGGCGGCGATGGCGTGTTGGATTGGAATGACATCTCTCCGGCTCTCCATACCTCTAAGACCTCCAATTCGACACCGACGAAGGTCCTGCGAGGATAGGTCTTGCCAGATCTGTTGTCACTGCAAGGGTATGTCTTGTCCAGATCTGTTGCCACTCTTTAGATCTTGGCACTTTGTGCCAATCAAGGAAAATAGTTGAGTAGCTCTTGGTGCGGCAACTTCGACCTCTTTTTTTCATTTGTTTTTGGGCATGGTATGATTTCTCTAACACTCTCAATTGGTGGTGAAGGATCACAAGTCTGTGTTGCGTCGGGTAATGTCCCAACCGTTGTTCCTTCAACGCTTATCTTGTTTCCAGAGGCAAGTGACTAATGCAGTCTTCAAAGCCTGGTATGGCAAGTACATTTGCAGGTGAATTTTCCAAGCTCATGCGGTTGATGTACAATTGAAGAAAAAGACGGTAAGTATGGTTTTCAGTGCAATATTTTTTGGGTCATTTTGTGCTTAGTCATCTTTCCATTTTTATTAGATATTGTTTTCCTTGATGATTACCATATACTCCCACCGCCCGGAATTGATAGATATCGTTCGATTTGAACGTCAAGTAATTCCGTACAGAGGATGGTAACCTTTCGGAGGTGCAACTCGAAGCCTTTTCCATTGATAAGCTAGCGAAACACAAATATGGATTTTCCTAGTAGATATATATGCCGAAGCCTTTTCCGTTCTCTCTAGCTTTCCTTTTTCAGTTCACAAAACCAAAATGAACAAGAAGCAAGCTTGTTTCATGCCTAGCAAAGAGCCTGAATGAGTAGCGGTGGCACATGCAGCTCCAGAATGCAGAGTGGATACAAGTTTTTGCAAGGACTGGGCACGTAGCAATAGAGCCAAGAGCAGCTATTGCTAGCCACAGTCACGCACATGAACCGCTCATGTCGACACTCGTACCAATAATGCCGGGCGGAGGACGAACATGTCCTCCCTACTACGTAAGCCATGGGCAGCATAGCATATTCATTCAAGGAGATCCGGATCACCCAACGAGATGCACCCCTTACATACAGATAACAAGTACTCCCTCCGTCCGAAAATAGTTGTCATCAAAAAGAATAAAAGGGAATGTATCTAGATGTATTTTAGTTCTAGATACATCTCTTTTCATCCATTTTGATGACAACTATTTTCGGACGGAGGGAGTACTTCCTCCTTCCATCTATATAGGGCCTAATGTGTTTTTCAAGACAGACTTTGACTATTGACAAGATTAATAGCACATAAGATGTATACTATAAAAATTATAATATTGGAAGCTCCTTTGACATACGAATTTGAAGGTATGCTTTGTGTAAGTTGCATGTCAAATATTGTTACTCGAACGTTTGGTCAAAGTTAGCCTCGAAAAACGCATTAGGCCCTATATAGATGGAAGAAGGGAGTAAAATGTTCTCCCATAAGAAATTTCCTCATTTTGTATATACCACCAGAATAATAACAAAATGCAGAGTAAGAAAGATGAAGAAAAACAATAATGCGTTGCACGATGCAAAACCAGCAAGGAACACTTAGCAATATATAAACTAATCAATAATGCATGGAGATGGCAAGGCGGTCAGGATCAGATGAGTCATCGCAACAGCCCAAAGGAAAAGGAAAAGATGGAATAGAATACATACATGTGATGATACACCATGCAACATGCTACTGGTCTACCGCGGCGCCCCGCTACTCTACGCTCCTCACTCTCAGCTCGGCTCAGCTTCTTGGCAGCCTATAAATAGATGCTCTTGTGCAACTCATCCGGCACACCCATCCTCTTTCAGAAGCACAGAGAGAGATCTTCTAGCTACACACTGTTGCCGTCGATCCAGCAAAAATGTGCGGCATACTGGCGGTGCTGGGCTGCGCCGATGACACCCAGGGGAAGAGAGTGCGCGTGCTCGAGCTCTCGCGCAGGCTCAAGCACCGCGGCCCCGACTGGAGCGGCATGCACCAGGTCGGCGACTGCTACCTCTCCCACCAGCGCCTCGCCATCATCGACCCTGCCTCTGGCGACCAGCCCCTCTACAACGAGGACAAGTCCATCGTCGTCACTGTACGTTTGCTTTTGTGTGTATATCTCTGCCGCTATTGTAGCTTGGTTCTTTCTGCTAAAACAAGTACTCCTTGCAGGTGAATGGAGAGATCTACAACCATGAACAGCTCCGGGCGCAGCTCTCCTCCCACACGTTCAGGACAGGCAGCGACTGCGAGGTCATCGCGCACCTGGTCAGTCACCTACATGACAACATTCAAATGTCAACTCTCCTCTTCGTCCTCCTCAACAACAATTACTAGTCATGATATCATTTATAAGATATATGGTGCGCCAAGTTGCGAGACACTAACATATCTATCACATGTCAAAAAACCACCTCTGGTGTGGGAAAGACACGAATAACACCAGAATGACATTTGCTACATATGTAGTCCTTTCACGAGGGACCACCGTAAACAGAGAAATGACTCCATGTCACCGATAAACGAGAAAAAGAAGACAATTAACAATACTGGAAATATACGTGATTGACAAGTGGATGCATAACTTAATTTTACCATTGTATAGTACGAGGAGCACGGGGAGAACTTCATCGACATGCTGGATGGTGTCTTCTCCTTCGTCTTGCTCGACACACGCGACAACAGCTTCATTGCTGCCCGTGATGCCATTGGCGTCACACCCCTGTATATTGGCTGGGGAATTGATGGTAAGTCAATGTTAAATTTTATTCAACAATGTGACACGATGCCTGCCCTCAGACAATCTTGTCACGCAATAGTAATACTACCTAGTCAAGAACAAGTAAAATCTGTCTAACATTACCTGCTCATGTTCTGCAAATTGCCAGGGTCGGTGTGGATATCATCAGAGATGAAGGGCCTGAATGATGATTGTGAGCACTTTGAGATCTTTCCTCCTGGCCATCTCTACTCCAGCAAGCAGGGAGGCTTCAAGAGATGGTACAACCCACCTTGGTTCTCCGAGGTCATTCCTTCAGTGCCATATGATCCACTTGCTCTCAGGAAGGCTTTTGAAAAGGTCAGACAAGACCATTGCCTGAAACTCAAAAATAACAATTTTAAGATCCACCATGGTCTAACTGTGTAGTCTTCTTTCAGGCTGTCATCAAGAGGCTTATGACGGACGTTCCATTCGGTGTTCTACTCTCTGGTGGCCTAGACTCATCATTGGTTGCAGCCGTTACAGTTCGTCACCTGGCAGGGACAAAGGCTGCAAAGCGCTGGGGGACTAAGCTTCATTCTTTTTGTGTCGGACTTGAGGTATGGAACTGAAAAAGATCAACAATGACTGTAACCTTTAGCAGATTTCCAACAAATTGCACCACAATATTATTACGCAGGGGTCACCTGATCTGAAGGCCGCAAAGGAGGTAGCCAATTACCTGGGGACCATGCACCATGAGTTCACCTTCACTGTTCAGGTAGCAAGCATGAGCAGCCGCATGCTTCATCTGTTGACCATACCAGACTAGTTGTTGTACTAACAGCACAAAGCATTGCAGGACGGCATTGATGCAATTGAGGATGTGATTTATCACACCGAAACATATGATGTGACGACAATCAGGGCAAGCACGCCAATGTTCCTGATGTCACGCAAGATCAAGTCACTTGGCGTCAAGATGGTCATCTCTGGTGAGGGTTCCGATGAGATTTTCGGAGGGTACCTCTACTTCCACAAGGCACCCAACAAAGAGGAGCTCCACCGTGAGACATGTCAAAAGGTGAATAAGAAAGAAATTTTCAGAAAAATGGCAGATTCAGACACCCTGACATAATGATTACACTGTAGATCAAAGCTCTGCATCAGTACGATTGCTTGAGGGCCAACAAGGCAACATCTGCATGGGGACTCGAAGCACGTGTGCCATTCCTGGACAAGGAGTTTATCAATGAGGCAATGAGCATAGATCCTGAGTGGAAGATGGTATGCTCAAGCTCAAACCTTACGAATCTAGAAATTTGAGAAAGAGCATACCATATTGTTGTAAAATGTCTTCCTAGTTTCTACTTTTAGACAATTACTATATCTGATGTTACAGATCCGACCTGATCTTGGAAGAATTGAGAAGTGGGTGCTGAGGAAAGCATTTGATGACGAGGAGCAACCATTCCTGCCAAAGGTAACAGTTTTTAATTCAAGTTTCTGCTACATCAATATGTTAATAGAGCAGTGGAGTTAACAGTTTCTATTGTGTGGCAATTGCAGCACATTCTGTACAGGCAGAAAGAGCAGTTCAGTGATGGTGTTGGCTATAGCTGGATTGATGGCCTAAAGGCTCACGCAGAATCAAATGTAAAAACATTGCTGCCTCTCATGTTCAACACGTCACTGTTATGCGTAAAATTGTAGTGAAATTCAGTTATTTGTAAAATGGTATAATTACACGAGATGTAAAATTATTGATGCAGGTGACCGATAAGATGATGTCAAATGCAAAGTTCATCTACCCGCACAACACCCCGACTACAAAAGAGGCCTACTGTTACAGGATGATATTTGAGAGGTTCTTCCCCCAGGTGAGCAAATAAAACAGCAAGAACATGAAACAGAAAACTCACTTTTCCATAGGAATAACTATGTTGATGCAAGCATATCCGTTGCTCTTGTGCCAGAACTCGGCGATCCTGACGGTGCCAGGCGGGCCAAGCGTTGCATGCAGCACGGCAAAGGCGGTAGAGTGGGATGCTCAGTGGTCGGGGAACCTGGATCCCTCAGGGAGAGCAGCACTTGGAGTCCATCTCTCGGCCTATGAACAGGAGCATCTCCCAGCAACCATCTTGACAGGAACCAGCAAGAAGCCGAGGATGATCGAGGTTGCAGCGCCTGGTGTCGCAATTGAGAGTTGATGGTGTCCTGTCCTGCTTGCCGTTTCTGATAAGAAATAAGATGTACCTGGTCTTGCCATTAGAGTGGTGCAGACCTAAGGTTTGAGTGAAGATTGTGCATTAATGTATCTATTGTTCTTATGAAATCGGAGACCGGATGATTTCTAATCCTTTTCTGGCAACTTCCATCAAAACATTATTGCATGATGGTTATTATTTGACATAAACGGCTACATCTAACCAACTTGAAAGGATTACAAAGTTGCAATATTAGCTACAATAGTCCAAAGAGGTCATAGTTAGCATGATAAAACAAGATCTTTTTCTGAATACAAAGCGGTATGAACTGAACAGAGGAGTAGCCTACCTACATTTAGAACAAAACTACCACTAAAAAAAGATGTTGAATTGAACAGTGAGTAATAAATTCATTTGACCTCTTATATTAGATCACTTGTTTACAACCAACATGTCTAATCCTTCTCCAACAAAACTTACTTTTAATACAGCATGGCAATTAAGGCCATATTTGGAATGCTGAAAGGTTTCGCAGGTTCTGTGAGGAGAATTGACCTTCTCCAGGTGAATTTCATGCATTCTGAATGCGCCTTTATGTGTATGTCAATGATTATATAGAAAAAAATTGACATCTTCTTTCTCCAAAAGTAAACATCACTATTGCAAGATATCCCATCAAGATGGGAGGCTTGGACAAAATAAACTCGCACCAGAAGTAACAACATTTTGCCCCCAGTCAATTCTTTATAACTTACAGGCAACAGTTTGCCGATAGTAGCAACTGAACTTGTACAATAAGTCAATAACTGAGCTAACGGTATAAACATCATCTACTCCATCCATTAAAATAGATCAAACCCATACCTAATGCCACATTAGCTAGCACCGGTATGTAGACGAAGTTGCAAAAGTTCATCTTCGAACATGAAATTATTGCAGGTTCCAACTTAAGATACCATGAATGATGCGAATCATTATATCTAGTAGGGACCAATGAAGACATCAACAGATGAAGAGGATAACACAAACTTAATGAGTTTGCTAAATTTGTTAATCCCAAAGTAATGAAAATATGTTGCTATGCGATTCCTGGCTTCATGCCTTCATTTCTGTTTTAAAGCCACCTTCAAGGCTGGCTACAGGTACTTGAACTTGGTAACTGAAGAATAGGTGCACTTTGGGCTATTGGTACTGGTTCGCAGCTTCTTGGTCTGCATTGTTCACGTAAAAGAAATTTTCTTTAGCATCTAAAGGCAACTCAATGGTTTGTGCTTACAACAAAAAAGCATCCGAACACCAGAGAAATGATCAGGTTACCTTTTTGGTGCTTCAATGGCAGCATCATCCGGTACCTTAATCAGAATTCCACTACTAGGATGAATGTTTCCCTGGAGTACACATGCATCAAGCAAAGCCTTAGAAAAAAATGCATCCTCAATCCATTGCATTTTCAATGTAACAATAGTAGTACATCATAGGGCTACTAATACACTTTCATTCACTATCGTACTATCTTAACACGTAGATTAACCACAAAGCTTATCTCGTGCTCAACAGATTTTGGTTTTCCCATGAGGCAGCCACAATACCAAATGGCAAATCTGATGACAGCTGCTAAGTACAACGAAAGTAATAACTAAACTAAAATTTGTTTCTTTTCCTAAAGAACCATGCAGCACATCTTTACTCAGGATGCAGGCGGAAGCGGACGTCCGCGAGCCCGTTTCGTCCGCGCCGCCAAAAGCACCTAAATGGCTTTGCGGACAAGCCGCTAAACACGACACGAGCAGCCACAGTAGCGAATTGAAGCATCAGGCATGCTGCTGTTCACCACAGCCGCCGGCGCCCAGCATTAGCACACAAAAATGATATTATCGCTTTGGGCCTGTATGTCTACATGAGCCTGTATGTTTACTTGGGTTGAGCTTCAGCTAGTCGACAACTCTAACCGCAGGTGCTAGATACAAGCTGTACTGTTCTTATCAGCTAGTCTGACTATGCGGATGTCCGCATGTGCCCCCCAGGCATAGCAGGCTGTCAAAACTGAAGGACGCAGGCCAGGCCACTGCTAATCAAGCGATTAGAGTTGCGGACGTCGCGTCCGCGTCCGCCTGCATCCTGACATCTTAGTGCTTTTTTATTGGGAGACCAAAGTTGTGACTGATATCCCCTTTTATCAACAGTGAGTCAGAGATTAAGCCATTCTTTTTTTCCTCGGCCACAACATACAAAAATCTAAGAAAAAAGGTAAACTATCTGATTCAACTTCAAAGAACAGTTATCAAAAATTAAGATTAAGCAAGTGAACAGATGTGCTTCTTTAAAGGAACATTCTCGCCGTGAAACCAACACATAATATATGCATCTCCTGCTTGGCGTAACAGAAGAAACTACACTAGACTCTGTTTGACATGATAACATAATCCAGCATAAGAGAAAACACTCAACAAAAGAAATGTTTCACAATCCAGGGCCGGAAACACCAAATACGCGCGACATCCAACCCACCCCAACTAGTAACTACAGTCATAATCCATTAACCCATGTGGCTTCTATCTTTGCCCACCGAAATACACAGGGTGACTTCCCAAAAATGTCTAACGACACAAGCACTGCCCTTGAAGTAGGATAACTACCAAACCAACGGACTTGTATGATTTATAAACACATATGGAGTTACCGAAGCACGTCAATATATCAAATTATCCCAGGAACTGCTGAATTCCGCATGTCTCTACATATGTGTGCAGGCTCAGATATATACAGCTAAGCATGCACAGGTCGCACATAGAGACACAAGCAAATGAGTATGGAGCCTTAAACAACGGCATTAGAACTTTAGAACACCTAATAAGATCTACTACAAAGTTAGTATAAAGTTGAGTCATCTATTTTGGAACGGAGGGTGTAGTAACAACTGAATCTGCCATCTCTAACTATACAGGGCACAATTTCTGTCAAGTATCAGCATCAATATCGACATTACGATCCTATCATGCGCAAACTTGAACATGAATAGAATCCATGATCTGAGCATGTATATAGTTTGGCAATCGTTAGAAGCATCCTGCAATTTAGTGTGAATGCAGACTTACTGGATGGTAGACACCAACCCTCCGAACAGATAAATATATGATCTTGTCCAATGCAGGGACAAGCAAATTAAACAGTACACAAAACATGAAGAGTACTCACCGGCAAGGCAGCGCCTTTCCCCTTCTTTTTATCTCTCAGTACCTTGGCAACAAGGCCGGCCCTCCTCTTGCCCTTGCTGAGATCCTCAGTTTCTGAGATCTCGGAGTGCTTCCTGTCGCTGATCTTCCAGTTGGCGCCCCTGCGGACGAGCACCTTGGCGGCCTTCCACCCGTCGGTGCTGGTGTCGATGACGGTGACCTCCGTCCTGGAGCGCCTCTCCCCGTGCTCAGCACCGGCATCCCTATCGGCCCGGCGGCGCTTCCTGGCCTTGGCCTTGTCTTTGTCGTCCTTGTTGGCGGACTTGACGTTGGGGCGAGGGCGGGGTCGGTACTGCTTGCGGAAGGGCTTGAGGGAGCGATTGGATCGCGGGGCCGAGGGGACGGCGAAAATTTCGGAGATGACGCCGGAGAGCGGCTGCGGCGAGGGCGGCGGCGACGGCGGCGGCGGCGAATG